AATGACAAAACATTCCAATTTTCTTTACATCTTTTTTAATTTTGTCACTTTCTCTAGTTTTGGTAGCCTTGTAGTTTTCCGCTACTATTTTCTTGTCTGGAAGTGATGATTTTGCATATTTGGTAATACTCGATATATTATATCCCATAACTTATCTATGTCTTGTGATACTATCTCTTGCATGTTATTTCTTATATCTGTGATTTCTATTTTCTTTTTGAGTATATCATCTTTCTTAGTTCTATACTCTTCCCAATTTTCTTCATTTGCCTTATCGAGTTGATATATCTATTGTTTACCTTTGAGCCTTTTGCTATATGCTAGGGATCTAGACTTGTTTGTAATACCTGTAGATAGAGTTGCCACTACTATAGAGTGATCACTGCCTGTTATAGTATCTGCTTCTATCATGTCGCAGTGTACCAGGCCTTGTTCTAGCTCCCTGGATACCCATATATAGTCTATTCTAGAGTTTACGATACTGTTTAATCTTAAAAATTTCTTTACATATAGGTGAAGATATCTGAATGAATCTATTATACTGGAATTTTCAAACTACGCTAATAGTAGTAGTTTAGAGGAGCATTTGGATTCTTTTCTATCTTGGTCTAGTTCTCTGTTTCTTATATCATTAAAATCACCTAAGACTATAACCTTTTACAATGGGTTACAAATCAAAAAAAATCAATCGTTAAAAAAAACTATTAATAAATCTAATTAATCTAAAGGCTTAATTCGTCACCACGTACCTTGCCTTTGCAATCTTTGTAAAGGTAATCCTGTTGATTCTCGAACAAGAAAAGTCTATATGCTAAAAAAGAATGTAGTAACAAGAAATATTAGTGAATCTTCAAGTAAGCTAACTGATTCAACAGCCCTTTCCAAGTTAGACTTTTCTGAATTGGACCTTCCTGAATTAGACTTTTCTGATATTGACCTTCCAGAACCAAGTATTGAAGAATCAATGCAAATTGACCCAGAACCAAGCATTGAAGAATCAATGCAAATCAACCTCTCGGATAATGATTCTGTAATTTCTAATAGTGATATTGAATACAGTTTCATTACTAAAGAACAATTCAAAAAAGGAAAAAAACTGATCGGAAGTGCGGGAAGGAGGATCAAAATCCCTGTTAATATTGAGAATTTATTCTTTGATGAAGAAGATAAATTAATTGACATTGAAGATGAAGAACTTACTAACCAAGAAATTGATTTCCACACTCTGGAATTTTTGGCTAAAGTAATAAAATCTGACGAACCAATAGATATTAATAAAGGTTTTATGTAGATTCTGCTATAGATTCTCAAGTATCAGGAAAGATATAAGCTACTCGAAACAGCCACTAATTCTTTGGTAAAATTCTTTCAGTATCTTCTGGTTCTTCAAGATGAAAATACATATTCCTCTTTTTCTTTGTCATTAAATTTGGCACGCAGGGCTCTTGGTGTTTGTCCTCATATAATAAAATTTGCAACATGTAAACAATGTTGCAAATTATGTAACATAGCTGATATATCTACCAAACTAAATGAGGCTCCTAAAATAACTAATTGTATCTACTAAGACTTTCTGAACTACCTAATAGCTAATCAAAGACGTCCTTGCAATTATCCAATTGCAAAAAAAATATCTATATCAAATGGGTTATATTTAAACTATCATTGATTTTTCTGACAGTTTCTTTGGAATACCAATTAAAGTCTCTGTTCAACCAGAAGGAGTTTGAAGAATCATATCGCAAGTAGGTTAAAAGGCCTAATAATCCTGAAAATCTTACTGATATATATGACGGAAGAATCTGGAAGACTTTTCAGGATCCAAATGAAGATTTACTATTTTTCTGGGAAGAGTTATTGGATAGTAATTTGGAGCTAATGATAAATCTAGATTGGTTCTAACCATTCGATAACTCTCAGTATAGTGTTAGAGCAATCTACACTATAATTTGCAATCTTCCACGTGATGAACAATTTAAGCCATTAAACATCTTAACATTAGCATTAATACCGAGACCTAACAAACCCAAATTACACCAACTAAATCATTATTTGGCCCTATTAATAGATCAATTAGTTGATTTGTGGAATGGTAAGTAAAAATTTATTATCATATTTATTATCATTATTATTATCA